AAAACTTGGGACAGCTACATTGTTTTTCCACTTGAAATGCTCCTCCTCCAGATTTCCTCAAGGAAATTGCTTGAGCTCCAACATGCCTGAGGGCAAAGCAGGCCCATTTCCAGTCACTGTTACATATTCTCCCATTTCAATCCCATATAAACCATGTATTCTTGGGTAAACTAGGTGGCTGTGCTGTTAGGTATCCATTCCGCAGTACAAACGACTCCTCACAGGATTACTGTGAGAACCAAACAGCCACTGGCTGCAGCCGCCAAGTTACAGTAATGCCTGTGCCTGCTTTAAACAGGCTGTCACCACATTAGACAAGGAGTGATTACTTTACTTTTGAGCCTTTACAAAAAGATTAAAAAAGGCGTAAGACACAAAAGGCCCCCAGAAAGTCCCTAAATCCACAGACATTAGTTAACCACTTAATCTCTGTTCCAAGTCTCTACTGGACCTCCTTACCCCGGTGATTTCAGATGTACATAAGGCCGTGCAAGCCCTAGTTCCAGGACAGCCAGGGCTAGCCTGACCCACTCGAACAGGACTCAGGTCACAGAAGCACACGGGAAACATTTGATAAACATCTTTCATTGACTTGACTTCATTAAAACAATGACTCAAGTACAACACTTTTAAAGAAAAAAAAAAAAAACATATGCCATGGTACTAGGGACTACGTATGCATTCCGGAACTTGCTGCTTTGGATCATTTAGTTGCATTTTCTAACATGATTGTGGTGAATAGGTATGAAAAAGGGAGTGTTTCTCTGTGTAGACCAGGCTGGCCTTGAACTCAGATCTGCTTGCTTCTGCCTCCTGAGATTAAAGGCGTTGTGCCACCACCAACCCTCAGTATTTCATGTAAGAATAGGACTGTCTCATTGATCACATATTAATAGTGCATTCTAAAACTCGATGATTTAGGAAGACGGGCCACTAGAAGTTAATCAAAATAACATGGACACAATGGAGCACGACAGCAAAATGCTCAGTGGAGATGTGACTCCAAACTGAAAGGCTGATTAGATGTTCATTATTACAGACAGATATGCACGAGTCAATTACTTACAAAAATATTGTCTTGGACTTCCTAATTTCCAAGGAAATGTGGAAAGCTAGACTTCTAATTTGCAAGGATATTAAGCATTGATAAGATACATATACACCATACACAAATTTGGGGATTTCAGCCCTTTCTCTCATTTGTCAGAAGCAACCAGGAACCTTCATTATTTTAGAAACATTGCAATGATTTTGAAGTTTTTGTTTTCGGAGTTGGGTTCAAGGGTCAAAGGGTGTCTCAGCCAAGGCTGACCTCAAACTTCCATAGGCAAAGCTAGCTTTGAAATGCTGAGTCTCCTGCCTCCACCCCCAAATGCCTGGCTAAGCACTTTTGAATAATTATTTTCCAGGAAAACGTTACTAGAATCTTGTTATAAGCTATTGTGAAGATAGGTTTTGGGGGGTGTGGGGGGGACCGGTGTTCTTTTTAAGGTCTTTGTTGATCAACATTTAAAAGAACTCCTCGAGATCCACCTGCTGCCTCAAAAAGTGCTGAGATGAAAGGCGTGTGCCACCACCGCCCGGCGTGCTTTGCTTTTTCATATACCAAATGTGGTAAACAAAAAGCAGTTGGTCCGAACTCTTCTCATTCAGGCTGTATGAAATGCAACTGCGAGAAAATACTTGGAGTAATGTAACTTCAGATTAAATTAGGGACATAGATAAATGCTGCAGACATCAGTAGTTTATTGTTTTAGTCCAAACACATTCAAAATGGAAACTCAAAAAGAATACTTTCCACCTGAAACAATTAAACTAGATTCTACCAGCATATAATGCTTAACACATCACAAAATAAAGATGCTAATCCATTGTCTTCTATACCTACTAAAGCCAAGATGGTAAAGCCAATTTGGTTGCAATAGTGTCATAAGGATAGAATATTACCATCAAAATAAAATAAAATCAGCAAATAACAGTAATGGTAGATGAGTCATTTTTTAGTTTTTCACTGAAAAGGGGACAAAATGTTAAAAGTCCACAGTACTGCAGGTGAACAGTCACCATGTAAACTTCTCCATGTGATGTTTCAATGTTTCATTTGTGGTATGTAAAGGCTGAAGCTGAATGGCTCTTAGCTCCAATTTTCTATTACACTTAACATCTCTTGTCTTTTGTTGCCATAACAGTTTATGTGGGTTACAGGGCAATATCTTGGATTGGAAATATATATGCTTGTGTCCATGTGTCTCTATGTGTGTGTAATACACCCACATACACACACACACACACCAGGAAGGGGGAATAACAACAAAAGAAAAATACACTTGGGGAAAACCACTGACAATAAAGCCACGTATTTCAAAGTAGTTTGGATAAAAGCTTCAAAACTCCAAAGTAATTCTCTAGTATGAACTTCAAGTACTATACATTAGAAAGTGTAAAACTGTTTCAAACAAACAAAAAACCTTAGCCTTCCAAAATGGAAACTACAAAAACCTGTGTCCACAAAATATATGCAATAGTGCAAGACATTTCCTCAAACATGGAAGACCTCATTCAAAGGGGAAAGAGACAATAAATTTTACCCATATTGCCCAGCCGACAAAAAAAAAAAAAAAAGTTTCCTAACTAGCAAACAGTCGCATAGTTCAGAACCAATTTGCTACCATGTCAAGTGTGTATTTTGTTTTCATTAAGGTAGAATGGAGAAGTCTTCCATGTTAACTAACAAGCAGCTTTTAAGTGGTCACACTTGTTTACTCCGCTTCTTGCTTGAAACATCAGAAATCTGATATACACTGATTGTTCCAACCATAAAACCGGATAACCTTTGCCATTCTTGTGGTTTACTGGAACCTGCTATAAAGACAGACAATAATCCAGCAGCTAGAAACTTTGCTCACAGAATTGTTTAAAGATTCATGTAAAAATAAAAAGATGTCGTCCCAGACTTAAATTCAGGAGCCATTTGGGTGCTGACATCAGTTCAAGAATTGTGCAAAATGAATGACAGTTCCCTGCCCCCCAATCTCAAGAGCTGCCATTCTCCCTCTGAAAATTGCAGTATCCTCACGTAAGTTTACTTGCCATTTCTGGGAATCTGACTGCTTTTCAAATGTAACTAAAATGTACATCAAGTTGTTTGACTTTTCCAAGCATTAAGTGATAACGTTTATAGTTCACATTAGAGCTAAAAGTCTACTAGACTTACTCAAATAACTGACTTCCTCTCCCTTCAAACACACGAATCCCTCCCACACAGAACATCGATGTTAACTAAAGAACAAGATAAATAAGCATCCATTTTACTGATTTTAAAGATACTGCAATTTTTATACTTCAATGATTTTCTTCAACATTTTGCAGCTGTTTGGCTTCGCAGCACAGCAATTCATAACTACACTGCA